TTTTTTCCTATTGGATGCCTCCATTATGGCCCTGCCTCTGCTGTCACGTGACCACCAAAATATCACAATTTCCGAATTTTGGCTGTCACGTGACCTCTGAAATTTTAAAATTTGAAATTTAAGCGGAGATCTGACCTCAAATTACTGAGGGATAAAAAAACCCAAAATGTGTTTTTTTGGGGGGTTGTTTTGATGTCCAAAGGACCCACTGACACCGAGGGGAAGAAATTGAAGTTGTCTGACCCAAATCTCACCTCTTTTCCCCCAAAAAAATCCCTCTTTTCCCCATTGGATGCCTCCATTATGGCCCTGCCTCTGCTGTTGGGTAAAGCAATAAAACTTCTTTTTATTTTTTTTTAAATTTCTGTTTGTGGTTTTTTCTTTCTTTTTTCTTTTTTTTTGTCTCCTTCGTCTTTCGTTTTCTTTCGTTTGCCAAACTTTTCCAACTTTTATATCTATAAATATGTGTGTGTATATTTATTTTTATGAATTTTTCAATGCATCCTCTTCGTTTCTTTGCATCGTGTTTTTATATACCCAAGATACATCCGTAAATATCTTTAATTTTTTTTTAATTATGTTTTCATTTCTTATTTTTTGTTAAAAAAAATTATTTTTAAAAGCAAAGCAAAGGGGCAAAGCGATGCAAAGCAATGCAAAGCAAAGCAAAGCAATGCAAAGCAATGCAAAGCAAAGCAAAGTAATGCAAAGCAAAGGGGCAATGCAAAGCAAAGCAAAGCAATGCAAAGCAAAGGCAAAGCAAAGGAAAACTGCAATGCATAGCAATGCAAAACAGAGTGAGAATGCAATGCCAAGCAAAAGGCCTTGCAGAGCAATGCAAAGCAATGCAATGCAATGCAAAGCAAAGCAAAGTGACAATGCAATGCAAAGGAATGCAAAGGAATGCAAAGCAATGCAAAGCAAAGGGGCAATGCAATGCAAAGCAATGCAAAGCAAAGCAAAGTGACAATGCAATGCAAAGGAATGCAAAGCAATGCAAAGCATTGCAAAGCAAAGGGGCAATGCAATGCAAAGGAATGCAAAGCAATGCAAAGCATTGCAAAGCAAAGGGGCACTGCAATGCAAAGCCATGCAAAGCAATGCAAAGCAATGCAAAGCCATGCAAAGCAATGCAAAGCAGAGGAGAACTGCAATGCAAAGCAAAACAAAGGTGCACTGCAATGCAAAGCAAAGAGGCCTTGCAATGCAAAGCAAAGGTGCAGTGCAATGCAATGCAATGCAAAGCAAAAGGGCCTTGCAAAGCAAAGCAAAGGGGCAGTGCAATTCAAAGCAAAGAAGAAATGCAGTGCAAAACAAAATGCATTGCAAAGCAAAGTGAGAATGCAATGCAAAGCGATGCAAAGGGGCAATGCAAAGCAAAGCAAAGCAAAGTGAGAATGCAATGCAAAGCGGTGCAAAGCAAAGCAGAGCAAAGCAAAGCAAAGCAAAGTGAGAATTCAATGCAATGCAAAGCAAAGTAAGAATGCAATGCAAATCAAAGTAAGAATGCAATGCAAAGCAATGCAAAGGGGCAATGCAATACAAAGCAATGCAAAGCAAAACAAAGCAATGCAAAGCAAAGTGAGAATGCAATGCAAAGGGATGCAAAGGGGCAATGCAATGCAAAGCAATGCAAAACAAAGCAAATGCAAAGCAATGCAAAGGGGCAATGCAAAGCAAAGCAAAGCAAAGCAAAGCAAATGCAAAGCAATGCAAAGGGGCAATGCAATGCAAAGCAAAGAGGCCTTACAATGCAAAGCAAAGCAAAGCAAGAATGCAAAGCAAAGCAATGCAAAGCAAAGCAAAGCAAAACAGCAAAGCAAAGGGGCAATGCAATGCAAAGCGATGCAAAGGGGCAATGCAATGCAAAGCGATGCAAAGCGATGCAAAGCAAAGCAAATGCAAAGCAAAGCAAAGCAAGAATGCAATACAAAGCAAAGCAAGAATGCAATACA